AGATGTGTATAAGTGGAGGGAATGTGATAGCATAAGCACCATTCTGGCCAATCGCATCACCTCGTTTACTGAAGTCAAATTCGACACGTGACTCCTTGTTGTTTAAGTAAGTAAAATCCTTGGGCTCAGTGCTCTCCCTATCTAATTGAATTGTAAGTGCGTTTTCTGAAATAAGATTTGTTTTGTTATTTCGATATGTGTTTGCGTAAAGAAAATATCATAGGAGTGAACGTTTGACTTACTGACGTGTTATCGTACTGAATAGTCATTATGTTCCCAAACACACTGATGGCCTCCGAATAACTAGCCTGGTGTTATAACCCCTAGACCACCGAGTTTTCGCTTAGTGACTGCCGTTTAAGATTTTGTTATGTTAAGTACAAAACGCAATTTAAATACGTCTTTAATTACATACCGTAGTTTGTTTGCTTTTTAAGACTTCATTATAAACTAATCATAAACATCGCTAATTTAGATAATTGCTTAGGTTAACAATATTTTTGGCCTAAGATGTTAGAGCACCCGAACGGTATTCGCAGGGTCTTTGATACGGATCCTTTTGTGGACAATACTTTTTTTCTGAAATATATTATAACGTCCTTATAACTGCTATGTAACTAACATATAACTAACATATTACATAGTTACGAGGACTTGTCTCGGAAATTTGCTATTGAATAGGAAACTCACCATGCACAAGGTTCGCTGTTACAACAGTTATACATTAAGGTTTCATTTTCATAAGGTTCCCTAGTCATTACATATGTTAAAGGGGATGTTAAGGGGAAAATAACACAAAAGATATTCCCTTAAGTCCGACTTAGCGCACATTACTACTACTACTATTATTATTATTAATATTATTATTATTATTATTATTATTATTATTATTATTATTATTATTATTATTATTATTATTATTATTATTATTATTATCATCATCATTATTGTCATCATCATTATTATTACTATTATCATTATTATTATTATTATTACAATGATGATGATGATCATCATCATTATTGTCATTATTATTATTATTATTATTATTATTACAATGATCATCATCATCATTATCGTCATTATTATTATTAATATTATTAATATTATTATCATTATTATAATGATCATCATCATCATCGTCATTATTATTATTATTATTATTATTTTTATTATTATTGTTATTATGATTATTGTTAATATTATTATTGTTATAATTATTAGTATTATTTTTAAACAATAAAGTGGATGTGACCCCTAAAAATGTAGAAAAAAGCTGAGTTTCCAGGACACCAACATTATAGGCAGCTTCGGTCTAAGCTCATGACCTCACAATAAATGAAAGCACAAAGCCGTAATAATAATTATAATAGTAATAATAATAATAATAATTGTAATAGTGACTTACTTCCGGGAACAATATTATACGTTTTTGATATATCATAGTATCCCTTTTTCGACACGGTGACTATGAATGATTCATCACTGGGGGCGCTTAGTTCCGCGAACCCATCGTCGTTAGTTGATTTTCGATCAAAGGTTTCAGTGATCGCAGTTGGATCACCACTCACTGTTAGCACGGATACAGTGGCTTCTTCAACTGGAACTCCTCGTTGTTGCTCGTCTTTTACAACTACTAATAATTTGCGTTCAACCTCTGAAAAAAAAAAATCATCATAAAAAACATGGGTAATTTTAAGACAGCAAATGACCGCATTAATGTGAAATATGTTTTATGGTCGTTGGCTTACCTGATTCTATGGAGCGCCACCACGCGCGCGCAACGGATCGGATTTTGTTGAATGAAGACAATCAGCAGGCGCTGTTACCAAAGATAATAAATATCAGAAGATACCGTAGAAATGTGATAATCTGGACAGAGCTTTATGGGTATACCGCAGCCCGGGCAAACTTTAAGAATTGTTAAATCATTAAATTTAATTGAATTATTTATGAAATGTAAAGCTGGCTCCACCCCTTAGATACAGTTACTAAGGTCCCAGAAAACGACAGTACGAACGTAAATACGTAAGGTCGTAGGACAACACGAGTTTTTTTGGAACAGCACATATGTTTGTGGGATAAGCGAGTATTCTTCTCTTGTATGCTTAGTTTTTGTGTCTACTGCCCTCATCGGAGGCCGTAGACATTATGCAAAGATCTTATAAACACAAGATAGCGTTCTCCGCGATTTACGCGTAACAAATAGAATCGTCGGTCAAGGTTCAAAAGTTTCCCATTTAGCAAGAGGGCGCCATTCATGCGCTATTACCGAAGAGAAAAAGTAATAAGTTTTGGAAGAGGGCGTCCAATCTGTTGCCATGGATCTGAGATGGTTCCTGTTCTGC